CTAGATTCACATGAAACAATTTCTGTGAAAAATGGGACATTGCAATTTTGCAATTAGGAGTTTAATTTGTTCATTTTTAAGAAAAAAAAATGGCTGATTAGGCAAAACTGAATCATATTAGTACCATAAATGAGAAAGTCCATCCTAAATCAGAACCACTCTCAACAGATAGACAATATATGTATAGCTATGTATCTTGGAAGTTATAGTCCTAATCATGTAATATAATTATAAGCAAGGATATCTACTAAGTATATGCAAATTAACACAATTGTGATTCACACTAGGTTCAGTGGATTTGTGCATACAGCAAAAGAAGATCTTCATGTATCTTATATGTATCTCCATGTGATCAGTATAAGATTTCCCATACAGCAGGTACGTTTCCTTTCCCTAGAAGGGAGTTTGCAGAAGACACACAGGCCTATTTGAAAATCTTCAGAGACTTGCATCCTTCTTAATTAGATGTAGTTCAGCAAAAGCAAAGTAAACTAATTGTTCAATAAAAATCAGTTACATATAGCACAATACTGACACCAAAAGTTCCTGTGATTTATATTGTACAGTGCATCAGATATACTGCATGTAAAATATATGCATATTGTTCAGAACATCAGTAACTGCTACATCTGCAGAACAGCTTGGTTTGTTGAAAAACTGCAGACTTACTGGCTAGATCACCAGCTGAAAATAAAACAAAAATAAATAAATAAAAAATAAACCTAATGCAGCCATCACATCTATGAACTGGCAAGCTGCAAGAGAATAAATGTTTATCAGCAATATAATATTTTACATCCAAAACCTTTACTAGATCATAATAGGCTAGATATTACTTCAATATAAAGCTCTAAAAATGTATTACATGTATAAATGACTTTCAAAATAAGATTGTTGGTATTGAAGATCTTAATGAATTCCTTCAATTTCTATTTTGTTCCCATTAAAAAAAAAATAAAAAAGGAGATAAATCATCAATGTACCTATGCCAGGTAATTATATATAACAGATAGCACTCTTGGTACCTACAGCAGGACCCTGTATCTGGAAGAAATGGGAGCATGCAAACATAAAATCATTATCAGTAAGAATTCCAACATATCTAACACAAATGTCTTATGTAATTTTTTGCACACATCCCTTTTCTACAGCCTTTGCTCCAAGGCATTCTGGTGGGGTATACTGAAGTTTAATTATCTGTTATCCAGTCATCATAGCCCCTGCAGGTACTTTCATCCCATGTAACAATATCAAGAGATGAGCATTCATCAAATAAGAGGGCAAATTAATCAGAAATGGTTTACAGGTCTTGTACATGTATTCACTCATTTTTTGTCAAACTACCTTGATTGGAAAACTATTGTTCCCAGTAGGATCTATTGAAACTGTTTGGCAATACAGTATATAAAAAAAAAGGAATGCCAGGGTTCAACATATTTCAAAATCCTACTGTAGCTTTATCAATAATACTTTCTGCTATTGCCTTTATAAAGGTTATATGTAGAAATAAATGTATTTTGTCCTGTTTTAAGAAGGCTTTGCATTTTCTTACACAAATCTCTGTTAAGATCTTTTGAACACATATTTTCATAATGCTGTTTGTTTAAATGCTGAATACTGTTTTAATGTACAGTTAGATCAGATTGTCCAATGCACCAATGATGAAATAAATTAACTCCAAATTCTGGGCCGCAATAGTATGAAGCATTCACATTTATTTGAGAGAAATGTTTAGACTTCAATTTACATGCTACATCATTTAACTATTTCTATTGGCTCCTCCTGTGGTGGATACATATATATATATTCCAGATGTTGACAAATAGCCTTTAGTCACTGCTCACTCATAACTTAATAGCTATCATCCTTATCTCCTGACACATAACATCACCACAATCATCCTTATCTGTCTCCCTTTTGTTAAAACACTCAACCAATTGATATTCTTGCCATGATATGTCTGACCAATCCTTTAATAACCCTCCAAAGGATAAATGAGCTTTTCTTTCCTGTAGAATTTTTAAAAACAATTTCCAAGTGAATGAGTGAATGTCTTTTATCAAACAAAAACAATAGTAACCAAATAGTTAATAACCAGTTCTCAAGAATGCTGATCAAGCTAGCTTGAAGCTTGAAAGGCTATTTGTATACCTGGGATTCCAAGATACTTGTCATAAAGGCTCTTTTAAACTATTGCCTACAATGTATGAGACTCAGTTATCAGCACACAGTTGATCAGCTACTGCACTTCTCAAATTGGGGCAAAATATTTTGTTATACATTTACTAAATTAATTACTGTTACTGAAGGTGGTTCACTTTTTTGCTTTTGTGTACTAAAAACAATTTGTTTACCCCTTATTATTTATAATTTTCCTACTTACCCCAAACCAATATGAAAACAGTAAAACAAATAAGTAACAATTATGCTTCAACTGAAAAGCTTGATTGACCATATGCAATAAATCAGAACAATGTGGAATTACATAAAAGTTGCTTAAAAAATACAATATATAAACATATCATAAGCACCAAACTGAAGGCACGGTTCATACTTGCATAAAAGCAACAATATAAAATATAGAATTTAGGCAGTTCTACCAAAATTTAGAAAAGATTAAATCCAGCAATAATTCAATGTATATTTTACTGCATCACAAATTATGTAAAAATATAAATAAATATACACACCAATAAACAAATAGGAAAATTTAATAAAGGTGCAAAGCAATTAACATACTTCCTTCTATTTCAAATAGATGTCTGGTGGTAAGATACTTTACATGAAGCAGCTGCTTGGGAGCTGTGGCATTTCTTTGCATGAGGAACAACATATGTGAGCTGGTACTTTAAGCAGCTAACAACATAGGGCGCAGATAAATCTTGGAACTAACTACCTAAATACATTGGTAGCTGCTAACAAATCCTTGGCATATGTAAACAGCAATGACTTTAGTCATTTTAATGCTACTAGCTGAACAAACACTACTTGGAAAAAGCTTTATTTATAACAAACTTAATTCAAATCCTATGGTTTTAAGGGTTGACTCAAGGCATAGAAATACAGAGGTCAATTGTATATCTGGGATTCCAGGGCACTTGGCATAACGGCTATTTTAAACCACATCCTACACAATACAAGGCTCAGTTATCAGCACATAGTTGATCAGCTACCTCTCCAATTGAGGCAAATATTTTTATTATGCCTTTACTAAAATAACCACTGTTACTGAAGGTAATTCATTTTACAGGACATGGATCAATAATTAGCAGATGCAGAGTGCATAAAATGCCACACATTCAATGTAATGCATAAAGTAACAAATGGTACTTGGTGTGGTAGTGGGATTGTAATGTTCTAGCATAACAAAATCTCATGACCAAACTAGTCATGTAAATTTTGAATGGCAAAAGTTTCTCAGTAGTAAATAAAGTATGATAGTTTACTTACCTGCTCAAAACTCTTGTTGGCCATTTGTTCTTGTTCATTTGTATTTTCATTTACAAGTCCTAAATTATCAGTGTCAATTAAGTTTTCCACAGGGACATTTTGATTTGGTGGAACATATGTAAAGTCATTGTCTGCTGAATCCAAGGTCACACAGAAGTTATATGGGTAGGGAAGTGATAATGTTCCATCACTATACATGGAAAGCACTCTGGGATCCATGGGAGGATACAAACTTGTACTAAAAGAGGCTGAGGGGATTTTGAAGCTCTACATTTTGATATAATAAACACCATAACAGTTACAATAAATAACAAGGAAATTAGTGCTAAGGCAACCACTAAGTATAGCTGAAGATTTGAATCAGGGTTTCCATTATTACTGTGACTGTTCATTTTAGGAATCACGTGTTGAAAATTGTCTGCAATAACAAGACTTAAGGTGGTAGTTGCAGAAAGTGAGGGGACTCCATTGTCCTTTACCATCACCACAACTTTATGATTCCTTATATCCTTTACTAGAAAGACTCGTGATGTTCTGATTTCTCCAGTATGTTCATTAATCATAAAGTAAAATGGTTCTGAGACTTGCACGAAATGATAAGTCAGCCAAGCATTATGCCCAGAGTCTTCATCCACTGCAACCACTTTTGTTATTAAAGATCCATGTTCGGAGGAAACAGGGACCATATCAAAGATAGTTAAGTCATTTTCTGGGGGAGGGTATAGAATTTTTGGTGCATTGTCATTTTGATCTACTATTCGGATAACCAATGTGACATTGCTGCTTAGATACGGTGATCCATTGTCTCTAGCAATTACTTGTAGTAGAATTTCTTTGTTTTTCTCATAATCAAATGACCTCTGAGCATAGAGAACTCCAGTCTCTGTATTAATGGACAGATAAGTGGATACTGGTAGATCTGCAGATTTTTGTATTAACAATTGAATACATTATTTTGCCATTTTTTCCATCATCAGGGTCTGAAGCTTTTACACTGTATATTGAGGCACCTGGTACATTGTTTTCTACCACATAAGCAATATAAGTTGATTTCATAAATAATGGTGGATTGTCATTAGTATCTGATATCTCCAATGTCACGGTTCTCCTGCTGGAAAGTGGAGAAGCTCCTCTGTCAGTAGCTAAAATAGTTATATTGTAGTTAGATATTTTTTCTCTGTCCATGGTTTTTGTGGTAGCTATCTTATAGAATCTGTTAGATGACAAAATTAACTCAAAAGGCACCTTCTCTGTAATCTGACAGTCAACTTCCCCATTTCCCCCAGAATCTTGATCATGAACCCTTATTATGGCAATCACTGTTCCAGGTTCAGAATCCTCAGGAATAGAAGAAGATAGTGAGGTAATAATTATCTCAGGAGCATTATCATTGTCATCTACAACTTCTATTATTACCTTGGCATGAGCTACAAGGCCTCCCCCATCTTTAGCTTGTACAGATAGTTCATAATTCTTTACCTTTTCAAAATCAAAATTGCTGTTTGTTTTAATTTCTCCAGTTGTAGAGTTAATACTAAACATACCTGTATGATGAATGCTTTCTGATGTTTTACTTAATAAATATGTAACTTGTGCATTGATGCCTTCATCTTTGTCTGTGGCCTCCACTGTAATTACAGTTGAGTTAATAGGAGCATTTTCATTGGCACTGACTTTATACACATTTTGTGTAAATATAGGAGCATTGTCATTTCCATCAGTAATAATTATTTTTATTATGGCTGTACCAGATCTAACAGGGTTTCCTCCATCCAATGCAGTTAGAATTAATTCATGGTTACTTTGTGTCTCTCTGTCTAAAGCTTTCTCTAAAACAAGCTCTGGAAATGTACTCCCATCATCCCTGTGTGTTTCAGACAGTGAAAAATATTGATTATCACTGAGCTTGTATGTCTGTATAGAATTGATACCAATATCTGGATCTATTGCTTGTTGTAAAGCAAATCTGGCACCGGGTGATGTAAATTCAATAATTTCTAGAATAATTCTGTCATGGAAAAACATTGGAGCATTATCATTTATATCCTGAATTTCTATTTTGATATTGAAAACATAGAAGGGATTTTCAACCATTACATCAAATATAAGAGAACAGGTAGCAGCTGCCCCACACAGTGTCTCTCTGTCTATCCTGTCCTTCACATAGAGATTTCCATTACCTAGGTTCACATAAAAATATTGTTCTGAGGCATGGGAAACAATCTGCAGTTTTCTAGATGACAGATTGGTAATGTTTAATCCAAGATTATCTGCAACATTTGCTATAACAGAGTCTTTTCTCATTTCTTCTACAATGGAATAATGAATCTGACCAGAGACTGAATGACATAGCCAAGAAAATAAGAAGAATGATATTACTTGCCAGCTGATTCCTTTGTTTGTCTGTAAATATTCTTTCATTCTTTCAGGCATTTTCAGCCGTTATCTTCTCCAAAATTCTTTGGAAAATGTAATCCAGTGAAGAAAGCTACACTATACTATACTTTTCTGCCCAAGCGAGAACCAGAAAATATTTTTAGTATAGTCTACAAGGTATCTAGAAAATGTCTGCTTCTTTTCTTGCAGACCTGCAATATGTAACAGTGTGGAAAACACTGGAGGATCTCCAGTTCTGTACATTTCTTGGTTAAACAGTGGCACTCAGAGGCCAAAATAAGGAATTGCAACACTGAGGAAACTATTTATTTTAAACAATTACTTCTGAACCTTGTATGTATAGAGTTGTATTAAATACATGCTGTATTGATTTATTGATTTAATATTGTATGCTATAAACACACTTTGAATTAAAAAAAAACATTTCTGTAAATATAAAAAAGAGCAACATTGCAAACCAACAAATGATTTTGGTTTAATATTTTGTATGGGAAAATTCTCCTTTCATATTCATAATTTTAATGTGTAATAAGCCTTTATTTATATTTTTGGGTAAAGTAAGGCAGAATAGAGTTCTATTAATATTTGAAGATATTTCATTACAAAAATGAACAGGTAATTGAGTCCAAACTGGAGAATATAGACAATGAAGATTTTTTGTTTAACAAGCTAGAATAAAGTAAAAGTAAAAAATGTAAAAAGTAAAAATCTATTTTAATAGTTTTACCTAATGCAGCAACAGCCACACATGTACAGTAGGACACCCAAAGTTAGAGGGGGTTTGTTCTTCTAAATCAAATACACTTTTGCACACGAATACTTACTAGTATTCCAATGTTTCTATTCTCCTTCAGTTTCTCTCTATCATTCAGCTAATGTGACCCCATTACTGATAGAGAGCGGCAGGGAGGGTCAAACAAGGATGCTGTGTAGACAACCTACATCCTCCATATCAACTGATGGCATCATTGGTTGTTAGGAGGATGGCAGCTCGAAGGTTGTAATGGTGCACAGTGAAAACCTATGACTTTGTGTTGATCCACCTGCTGGCTTGTATACAATTTTTGGGCAATTTCTAGGCATTATGCCTAGTGTTACTATTGATCAAATCTATAGATTATGAAATATAATATATCTATGATATGATTTGGTAACTTATGAGTGAACGTTTTAACACCAAAATGTATTGGTGAATAGTATGGAGGTCTAAACTAACACAAGAAATATATCTAGTTACATAAAAGAAACATTATTAAGAAAGTTCTGACATATAATCACAAATACAAATAGTGAGGCAGAAAAGACACAAGACAAAAATTTAGATATAAATGCAAGGGATATATTCCATAATTGTCATGCGACTGTACGTACGGGTTCCATTCTCTTAATTGGTGTTCCAAAAAGAGCCTCTCTCTCCCTCTAGTCTCTATTGTTATAGGCCTCTCCTCCAATAGTTTTCATGGAGTAGCTCTGATTGGTTGTCAAATCTACACCAACCCCCATTAAGGCAAATCTTGGCATACCCTTTATGGAATTTAAGTATGCCAGTTCATGATATTTTCCTGGGAAATTAAGTATTCATGAAAGGCTGGCCACCTTCATTGCATATCTAAATGAGGGATCCTTTGAAGTGGATATTTGTGTAGCCAACAGGTTTGGGTCCCATTGTTAGATAAACTAACTCTGGCACTGAACCATCTGAAAGAGGATTCTCAGCAGAGGAGTGTCCAGACTTCTGTTACACAGTAAAGAAATTGTAATTAACAGAATATTCCCTCTGGCAACTTAAACCACCCCAGCTATCTGTAGAACAGGGATTTATGGGAAGACATATTACACACCCACATTGATACAGCTCTAACTGAAATATATTCATAATTACAATATTATTTACAGTGGTTAATGGAGATTTCATATAAGCTTATTATCTAACAAACCCCTATAGACATCCATCCTAATTCGCTTGAGAAAGGAGTGCAACTGCCGATCCATTCACAGTGCTCATGCTCAGGAAACGTATTGCAGACTCGGTGATGTCACCACGCCTCCACGTTGTGCTCCACGAGCGTTCTAAGCCTCGGTTCATGATCCCCTCATTATCTAACATTACTGTATTATACAGACTAAACAAATACCACACTGAATATGCAATGCTGCATTTTATCAACATATTGTAAATTATGAAAAAGGTCATTACTTACAGTACAATGTAGAGTAATAGTACAAACACACAAATGGTTTGGCATACAATCATGGGCAAAAATATTTGCACCACTGCATTTCTGTCAAATAATGTAGCACTTCACCCAGAAAATTGTTGTAATTACAAATGTTTAGGCATTTTCATGTTTATTTCTTTTGTTTTTATTGGTATGACACAAACAAGTGGAGAAACAAAAAAGATAAATCTGACACATTCTAAGCAATTTCTGAAAAATGGACTGGACAAAATTATTAGCACCTTCTCAAAATTGTAATAAATAATTGCATTTCAAGTTTTTGATGCTCCTGTAATTTGTAAACTCACCTGTATCAATTAACAGGTGCTGACAATATAGAAATCACACCAACAACCAAATAAATGGTGAACAATTGATAACCTTTCTGTTGTGTGTCTCTGTGTGCCACATGGATCATGGAAAAGAAAAACAGCAGCAAATAATTTTCTGAGGATTTGAGAGCAAAAATTGTGCAAAAGCATGGACAATCTCAAGGTTACAAGTCCATCTCTAGAGATCTTAATGTTCTTGTGTCCACTGTGCACAACATTGTCAAGACATTTACAGCCCATGGCACTGTAGCTAATTTCATTGGACGTGGACAAAAGAGAAAAACTGCTCAAATATTGCAACAAAGGATTGTTTGAATGGTGGTTAAAGAACCTCGATCAGCTTCCAGACAAATTCAAGCAGACCTTCAGGCACAGGGTGCAACTGTGTCAGCTTGCACTATGTGTTGCCATCTGAATGAAAATGGACACTATGGAGACCCAGGAGGACCCCACTGCTAAAACACAAACATAAAAAAAGCCAGAATGGAGTTTGCGAAAACTTTCCTTGCGGAAGCTTTTGGGGGAATGTGCTGTGGACAGATGAAACAAAATTACAGCTTTTTGGTAAAGCCCATCTTTTTACTGTTTTCAGAAACAGAAATGAGGCTTTTAAAGAAAAGGATTCAGTCCCTACAGTCAAACATGGTGGAGGGTCACTGATGTTTTGGGGTTTCTTTGCTGCTTTAGGCATTGGATATCTCAACTGTGTGCATGGCATTATTAAATCTGAAGACTATCAAATAATTATGGGGTGCAATGTAGGGCCCAGTGTCAGAAAGTTGGGTCTCCATCAGAGGTCATGAGCATTACAGCAGGACAATGACCCAAAGCACACATCAGAAAGCACCCAGAAATGGTTTCAGACAAAGCGCTGAAGATTACAGAACTGGCCAGCAATGAGTCCAGATCTCAATGACATAGAGCACCTGTAGAGAGATCGCAAAACAGCAGTTGGGAAAAGGAACCCTTCCAATCTGAGAGACCTGGAGCAGTTGGTGAAAGAAGAGCGGTCCAAAATTCCAGTAGAGAGGCGTAAGAAACTCTGATGGCTACAGGAAGCCATTGATTTCAGTTATTTTTTCCAAGGGGTGTGCTACCAAATATTACCGTATTTTCCGGGTATAAGACGACTTTTTGACCCTTGAAAATCTTCTCAAAAGTCGGGGGTCGTCTTATACGCCGGTATACGGCATGCTGACACTTTTTAGGGGGGCGGTGCGGTGCCGCCGCCGCCCCCCCCCCTTCCAACGGAAATGAAACTAAGTACAGGGGTGGGCAGGAGCTTCTGTTTCTTACCTGGCTCCGGTCCCACAACGATCCGGTCCAGGAAGCGCGGCTGCTCCTTCCTTCAGTTCGGCCACTGGATGTTCGTGCGGCTGCTCGGCTCCGCCTCCTCACCGGTGATTGGCCGCCAGAACTGTAGCTCAGGAAAGGCACACAGGCGGCCAATCACCGGGGAGGAGGCGGAGCCGAGCAGCCCCGCGAAAATCAAGTGAAGGTAGTGTGCCGTGCACAGGTGCTGCTGCAACCATATATGCTTGCTGCAGCAGCACCATACTGAACAGGGGTCAGCAAGTGTCAGTGGGAGGAATAGTGTCCCATCATTGGTGTCACTGATACCAATGATGGGGCATTATTCCTCCCACTGACACCAACGATGGGGCACTTCCCCCCCCCCACTGACACCAACAATGGGACACTATTCCCCCCCCCACTGACACCAATGATGGGGCACTATTTCACCCCCCACTGACACCAATGATGGGACACTATTCCTCCCACTGACACCAATGTTGGGGCACGATTCCTCACACTGACATCAATGATGGGGCACTATTCCTCCCACTGATGCCAATGATGGGGTGCTATTCCTCCCACTGACACCAATGATGGGGTGCTATTCCTCCCACTGACACCAATGATGGGGTGCTATTTCTCCCACTGACACCAATGATGGGGTGCTATTCCTCCCACTGACACCAATGATGCGGTGCTATTCCTCCCACTGACACCAATGATGGACACTATTCCTCCCACTGACACCAATGATGGGACGCTATTCCTCCCACTGACACCAATGATGGGGTGCTATTCCTCCCACTGACACCAATGATGGGGTGCTATTCCTCCCACTGACACCAATGATGGGGTGCTATTCCTCCCACTGACACCAATGATGGGGTGCTATTCCTCCCACTGACACCAATGATGGGGTGCTATTCCTCCCACTGACACCAATGATGGGGTGCTATTCCTCCCACTGACACCAATGACTGGGCACTATTCCTCCCACTGATACTAATGATGGGGCACGATTCTTCCCACTGGTGTGCATTGGAAGAGGGGTAGTCTTATA